GAACAGTGTTTCTTACATTTCTCTTTCAAAGATCGTTCTCAATTTACTTGTAACCATTGACTGCCATTATACCTCTCGTCAACCTATTTGGTATTTTTTAACCGATTTCGAAAAGAAGTTTCTCAATTAAGTTGACTTTTTTTATGTTGTTATCTTAAAATTCTGTCAATTGTAAATCGATTTGAATTTTTCTGTCTGAAAAGATTTTGCTTATAGTTGTGCCTTATAAATTTTATCAAAATCAATTCTGTAGTTTGGATTTTAGATCAAAATAACTGGTTTTTCCACAATTGTAGTCGGTTTTTTTTATGGCACACAACTTATTTGTTAGAATGACCTAACAAATAATTATTATATTTATTGTATCTATTCTTAATTTTTTGACATTGTTAAACAATAATCTATATAGTTATGAAGTTTAAAGTTGTAAAGATTAAAAAATAATTAACTAGTTGATTTATCTAATAATCCGAATTATGAATTTTGAACTTATAAATAACATGCGTTTTGTTGAATATATCTTTAGAGGCTGCACTAATTTATAAGTCTAACTTTATATTTTCGACATAATATCAATTGTTGCGACATAAATGGAATAAATGTATGGAGCGGCAAGTCATCCTATAGTGAATCTGTTTGTATGAAATGGAGTTGCCGATTGAGTAATTTTTTTTTGAGTTTGAGTTTTCTTTTCAAATTGGTTATGAATTAATCGAATTAATGACTTGTTCATTATCACTTCCTCACTGGTGATCTGTTACTGAAGCTACGTGATCCGCCCATTATTATTTTACTTATTCATTGGTGCTGGTTACTCAAGTTATGCAGTTAGCTTATTATCACTTTATTTCCTTGCTCATTCTCCACGGCTATTTATAATTGTATAATTTATTTACGTAGTCCGCTCTCGCACAACACGCATAGAAGTTCAAAGACAGATTGCCATTTCAAAAAATAAAAAAACATATAAAAACTCACAAGAACTTGCAAAAAAACAAAGCTGTTTCCTATCTCGGAACAAGCGGGGCATTAAATTGTTGCGAAGTTTGCAGACATTTTAACTTCACAGTTAAGCTTTAGACATTCAAATTGTCTCATGAATGTTTAGACGACTTTCTTTACGAACTTTTGTTTCCTCCTAATGTAAACCAGTTAAAGTTAGAAAATACTTACATATTGTCTTTTTATGCCAATTTGTTAATTATAGGCCTATCATAATACAGAAATGAAAGAAGTAATTTTTCCTATTGAATGTTCTACTGGAAGTAATATAGACTCAAAAAAAAAACGATAAAAAGAAGAGGAAATTTTTATTATTAAAATATTGTAAAAATAATTTGTTGTTTTATAAAATATTATACACTTATTATTAAAATAATATGCAACAAAACAATTAACCTAGTATAGACACCAGTCCCTCGCAAAGGTAAATTGTATCGCTTTTTATTGATAGCTTGTTTCACTTCATTTAGACCTAGTGATAACATTTGTAAGGAAAAATAAAGTTTTATTTTTATTATAAATTTATTATTAATTGTTTAGATACTTAATTAATAGATATTTATTTCACTGAACTACAAAAGGGTATTTGTATTTGTTTCAAAACATTAATTTAGAACATATTCGTATGCCCCACTTTCGATATTTTACGCTAATTGCCAAAGTTACATCCATCTATACTTGTTTACCCATTATATGAACAAAAGACAAGCAATTACCAATTTCACATGAGAAATATGTTAAACGATAATAAATTTTATTACAACAATAGGTTGAAATATGTACCTAATCATCACGTTACTATACTATTTATTTCGATATATTGTAATGTGTCCCAACTGTATAATTTCGTGAAATATTCCATTTTGAAAAAGTCAACCGTAGATAAACATTAATATTCTCTCAAAACCTAACATAACTTTGCGCATAGACATTCCGATATTCAGAACTAGTTAATAATTGCAACTATGTCTGCATGATCGTGACCAAAAATCTACTATCTAAGCTGCCTATATCTTTGTCCATCCCAATTGCTATGTGCATATCAATTTCATAACTATCGGTTTAATAGTCAAAATAGCATACAATAATCAAACCTACATTAACACGTACAATATTAGTAAAGATAAAAGAGAGACACTACAGTAGACCATCACACATTTCTTAGCCTCCACAATATAGACTTTGAGATTGTCTATTTTCCTACAGCTTGTATTTTTCAAGAAACTGCACAGTTGAGCTATTCCCGTCATTAGCCGCGTTCGTTGTTTGACCCCATTTTGCTGGCCCATTTTTCTACTCTATTATTCAAAAAGTGCTGACAGAACTTTGATATCCTTAAACTCTCCTTCGACATTTATATAGACGTGTAATAACGCTCAATATTAATGAAATATTATTGTTGTCCATTATAACTAGAAAACGGCGATTATTTCGAATACTGAATTTTGTCGTTTTATTGTACAATACGAGTATTACGTCGTCAATTCTAAACCAAGATTTATAATAGTTTCTGCAATCTCAATAGAATTTCTGTTGAATAGCATATTAAGCTAAAATATCTTTTCTATTAGTGAAAGCACTTTAAGAATCGATTCAATAATTTCAGAAATTGTTCTTTATATAAACAAACAAATACAGTCTTTACTTGTACCAATAAAATACTCAAATATTTAAATCATAAAATTCTTAAAGCTTGTCGTCTAAGGCGAGTGTATGTGATTGACAAATATACACTACGCTCTCACTACTGCAATCTCTACTAGTCTGTGGTTCTATATTTCGCATCCTCAGTAATAAAGAAATAAGGTAGATAATATAATCTAATATACTAACCTAACCTATATATTAACCTAACCTAACGTAAATTACCAAAAAATTCGTATCTTAAAACTTAAACTTGTAATAGACTAATAACTCATTTTGTTAGAGTTTATGTCATATATATGCACTATCTATTGATTACTAGTTCCATTTATTATCCAGAAACTGTAATGTTATAACATTAAGAACAAAAGTACCCATTTGTATAACTAAAGAGTTAGGCTATCAATTACGAAACAGCTATTATTTTAGCATCAAATAACGATCATAGTATCTACCAAACTGTATTATCATAGCCTCCTTCCCTTTATTAGAAGGAAGGGTCGCTTCGTTTCACAGATATGAATTAAAATAGATGTCGCAACTGACAATTATAATTTGCTTGATAATTTTTTAATCTAAGTAAGCTCAAAAATATTGTGACTCTGTTAATTAAATTTCAATCTGTAAATTTATACGTGAAATAATTGTTTAATGACTTTCAATTTGAATAACCATTTATGGAAATAATGTATCAGTTAAAGACAACAAATTTTATCATAAGAAGACCATGTTGATAAAAATATAAGACCTGAGATGACTGAGTTCAAAATTCTAAAATTTACAATACAAATTTTAGAATATTAAACTCAATTATCTAAACTTTGATGTGATATTGAAGTTTCCGATAAAAGTTATTGTTTATAAATATTACTTATAGTAGTATTACAAAGTAAGAAAAATATTAAAAGTATAAGTAATAAACAACACTGATCCATACAAAGTTGCTCGTATCCATTATGTCGAAAAAAGTTAAGAGGATAAACAGTTCACCATTGTATTTTCAAAGTGCAAGAAGGAAAATAGCTTTTGTAATATCTTTTTTAGGTTAGTAGTAACAAGCTTAATGTTCATATTGTTTACAATATTTTGCGTCGTCTTTCTCTATATGTACCTATGTGATGGTTATATAATTTGTATATATAATACAATTATATAGCCTGTACTTTTTGTGTACAAAAACAAAAAAAAAAACCAGTCAGGTGCGAGTTGAACTCACATGCTGAAGATTCCGTAAATAAATATATATGTCATAAAATGACCTTTATTGCATTTCTTATGAAATAATCGAAAGAGACATCTAATAGTTATTATTATTGATAGAACAAATCGTAATTTCTTATTTTGAATCATAAGAACCATGTAACTGAGTTTGTTTTTAGGGTTTTTTTTCATAATTAATCAAAACTGTGCTAGTTAGAAACACCGTTTTAATTTCCCTGTAATATTCACATATGCCTGTATAAACTGTAATTATTTCACATTTTTCACTCAGAAACTTCGGAGGTAAAGGGGGAGAAATGGCATTTTTTCTCACATTTTCGACCATATCTAAAATATTATACATCATAAAAATAAATAAAAATTTGTTTTAAAATGTACAAATGGATCAATTTTGAAATTTTGAGAATCCCCTTAGCAAAGAAAATATAAACATTTTCTCAATTATCTTCATTGCAATATATGTAAAAATATTCTATATTTAAAATTGATCGTATTAGTAGTTGTTGTGATATAACGCTGTAACAGACGGATGGACGGATGGACAAAGTCACGTAATAAGACAAGTTACAAAATAAAAATGAATATATTATTATAAAAGCTCGTATAACGGTAAATTTTAAGTTTAACTAGTAGACTAGGAATTATCTACACGAGTCGACAAGAATAAGGTTTTTATAAAAAAGACCCTTTTTCGAGCTTTTACCATACCAAACGTAATCTACCTTTCTGATCACAAGTACGAGTGCCACCCACTAAACTGTATATACTATACGCTGACGAAATACGAGTACCTGTGAAGGATGATAGATGAAAGCAGGCCTGTTAGTCTATCGTGACAAATTCCACTAGACCTGATAGGATTTATTGTATGTACCATTGCTAATAATGAGGTCTAGATCCTATTATTAATATACCTTTTCTCTTCCAGGAAAGTAAATTAAGCTTGGTTTGATAAATGTTCGGAAAATGATCCTTTTTTTATAAAATGCTTACATATGCCGACTCAATGGTAAATCCTAAATTTACTAATGTACGGACTTTTACAGTTACATATATAATATTAAAAACTACAATGTGCAACTAATATTATTAAGTAAAAGACTCTTTAATTAATGATATTTTTTTTGTTTCAGTAACCGTGTCCCTCAATATAACTTTGCTGGCTTGCAGTACGTTGGGTCTTATTGCATGTGTCCTCTTAATATTCGGAGTATACAAAGTAAGTTTGAATTTTAAATATCTATTTAGCTTAAGAAACACTTATTATTTAGTAATGTAATATTTAGTAATTGCTCAGCTCTCATTATCATCATTTCAGCCGTTAACTGTCCACAACTAAACATAAGCCTCATAAAGGGAGTTTAGCCAGTAGTTGCCACGCTTAGCAGGCAGGTTGGCAACTGCAGTTAGGCTTTCAGAGATGTTTTAAGAGCACTTCTGCCCATCTCTCTACCACTAACCAGCCTATTGCCACTTCAATTTACTAATCCATTGCCCCATGTTGGTGACTTTAGTTCTTTTGTGGGTATCCAACATTTCGAATTCTGTCATGCAAACAAACTCTGAGCATAGCCCTCTCCATAGCTCGATGAGTAATTTGAACCCTACAAATTAAATTACAGCATCGAAAATAAAATATAACTACTACATAAATAATATAAAAAATATTGTTACTAATCTCCTATTTTGTTCAGTCGATTTGTATGTACCGCTTGCTTCGTCTTGAGAAATAAGATAGTGGCCCACAAAAGGTTGCCATCACATAATACAGAATAAAGCATATTATTATGACTCTGTTGTCTATATTTATAGATAATGATTACACTTTTCCATCAGGTATGTCGTCAGTTGAATTGCTTTTCCAAGTTATACAAAAATGAAATTGAAGAAAACTGGATATGATGCTTACAATATTATATTTAATTTATTATTCTTTCTTTCCAGTAAGGATTTATTAACATTCCACTATTGGACATAATATTTTTATAAGAATCCTATAACTTATTATTATCACACTAGCTATTAGGTATGGTAAGAGGATATTTTGAATTTTTCTTTTCGACTATTGCTATTTTTTAAGAATAAAAAGGGTTTTGACATTTAGTTAGAAGCAAACAGTCTAACCTCTGTACATTGTATTGAAACACAACAAAACTTATAGTTACCCAAATTAATAATTGATACAGCAACCAACCAACTACCTAAAATTAGTACAATGGATAAACTCAATACCTTAATTAAGATACTTTTTGAGTGTGGAACAATTACTAAGTAAATCTACATCTAAATTGCCGAGTTTATTGTTGTACAGTTCACGTGCCCGCCTTAGAAGCTATTATTAATATAACAAGTCGTATTATGTATCTATTACATAGACTTGAGACTATTTTCACACACTTGTTTACGTTTACGAGTTACAAGAAAATAAATATCATTGAACAAAAGGCTCATTAACGATGTTATTTAATATTTTTAAGCAAATTACAAAAGAAAGAGAACATTTTCAATTCACTTGTATTTTATGGCCTGGTAACGTGATATTTTCGCTAATTCTGAACCTATCGGGTGTCTCAAGTTAGAGATGTGCCAGTTAGCCTTTTTCGATGTTCGAGTATTTTGAAATCATTAAAATAATCGAACCTAATTCGAGTTTGAGAATTCGGTTACTATTTTTTAGTTAATTTTTGAATCTTAGAGTCCTAGAGACCTTGATGATAATTACAAATATACATATATTCTTTATTACACTGAAAAATAGTTACAGTTAGACAATGTGAGCTAAGGTGAAATTATCTCAAAAATAAATCTCTTTTAGCTCACCTAATGCAATGGCATTGGAAGTGATAATAATAAGTAGTAGTGAAATATTTGATTAGTTAATATTTTATCCTTTAATAATTAGGAGTGAAAAATATTAAAGCAGTAATGTAGACACATAAATCTTACAATAACTGTGATAGCGTGTATATTATAGTTTTTATATATCTATTTCATCATTTACAGTATTCGAGCATAGAGTATGTACTCGAAAGTTTTATTCGAATATTATATATCGCGTAAAATGAAAACCTTAATGCCGATTATATATTCGAGTTAGTACCTACTCTAGTCAGACTGACTCGGCATATATCGGTATCGTGCTGAAGGCATGACCTATTTTTACTGTACAGTATCATTAGTTAATTATGCGAAATAAATTGTATAACAATTCCTGTTAATGATTTTTTAAAGCCCCCGTTTGATTAACTAGTTATCAGTGAGTTTTATTAAATAGTATTTAGTTAGTTAGTAGCGGAATTAGACAAAATATAATTGACTGAACACTGTATTGGTTTTTCGAAAAATAACACCTAGTTTAGTAAAATATGTATTAGCTAATAACGATTGTAGCTTTATTTTAAACATTTATTAGATACAAATATTCTAACATTTGAGCACAGGTGCAAAATAAGTTTCTATGCTTTTTATTCTTTGGCGATTGGTCTGAAGGAGTCTTTCAACTTTTGATCAAAATATGTCAGAGTTTAGAAAGCCACGTATAAAATTATTATGTATACATATTAGATGATTAAGAGTACGTGGTACTATAGTGCGTTTCAATAGAACTTAAAAGGACTCTTACAAAATGACGGTGCTTAAATGTAGATTACGCACACTAAGCTGCGCAAAGAAATTTATACTACTTTTCAGGTTGTTAATGTTTATTATTTTTTCTAAAAATATATTATTATTTTTCATATATTAGTATATATATATATATATATATATATTAATATATATATATATATATATTAATATATATATATATATACATATATATATTAACTTTAGTATATTTTATGCAAAAATCATATTTGTTTTTAAGAGGAATTTTAAAAAGACAAAATTTGGTTAAATTTTTAGAAGTGTGCTACTAACAACCAAACAGTACATCTGCCAATAAATGGTCACTGTAGCCTATGGATAGAAAAAAAAAACAATATTACAACGCAGTCTTAACTTAGAGAATAATTACCAAGTTTTAATAACGATACCATACCGGAATGATGATGATGACCCCAAACTTCTACGTCTCAACATTTTTAATAAACAACTTTGGAAATTAGAAAGAAATTAGTGCGTAATAACGAACAAAGTAAATATTACACAAAGTTATTTTAAGACCAGAAATACGTTTAACAATTAATTAATAAAAATGTATATCTAACCCTTAAACATTTCGAAACAGACCCCCAGAAACTCCGTTTTATTTTTGTTGTCTTATGTAAACAAATTTGAAAGGCCACTTAGTAAAATGTAAACAAACCAAAAGACAGTGTACTGACGTGAAATTATAAATCCATTAATTGATTGAATGTTTCGATTTGTTACGAATTATATTTAGAGACTGTCTCTGTGAGAATTTCAACAAACTTTGTTAATTTTTAATTAGGTACTATTGAAACAAATTATATTAAAGAGAAGGAAAACGAAAGAAAACTATATATTGAACTTCTAGTCCATATTTCAACTATAAGCTCGTGTATTGTGATTGGTGATAATGATGGATCGTTGTGATAAGTGATATAAGTTCACTGAATGAATAAAATTATAGTCTTAGCTAACCAATATATTGATATACTATCTGGCAAAACATAATTCACTTAAATTTAATGATATACTTACGTATGAGAAATGTCTGTATTTTATATATAAAATTCAATTATTTGATTCCTCTAGATTTAAATGAAATTTGAAACTATATATGAGGTTAATATTACATTATTATTTATAAGTAATATAAGTTAAATAGCAATAGCCTCATATAAGAAATTTTCGGGGTTTTACTTTATGTATAAAGGAGTGGTTGTTCCCGTGGTTTGTCGTATTCCCGTGTGAACAAGGATAAAAGTATTCTATATGTTATTTTATATCATATATTGTTACAAATTTTCAATATTTATTTATAATATTGCTAGGATTATGAGAAACAGCATATCGTTTTAATAACAGTAATATTATTATAGGTAGCTACCTGATTGAGTAAATACATTTTGAATACTTTTTATAACAACATCAAAGCTTGTTTTATATCTACAATAAAATCTAACTATATAGAATTCTCGTCCTAAAATATCTGTCTTCTAGGACTCAAACTTCAACATTCAGCTCAAACTGTTAAAGGAAAAGCCTTTTATTTATCTACATATAGGTATCTGAAAAATGTCCACATTATGTTGCGGGAATTTTTACTTTAACCTTTATGTTGGACCTAAGTTCTGTCGTGACCTATCTTATCCACGTTCAAGTAGATATACGAGTATTAGGTATCTTAGAGCGCACCCGAAACCAATAACTCACGAGTGATTTGACCTCTCTTCAGATTACCTATTTTAAATGTTAATCCAAGATAAACTCATATAATATGGGTACAAAAAATCATTGGAATAAAATGAACACACTGTTTTCTTTTCCGATAAATTCTGGTCCGTTCTCTACACAATGCAAATATTTCTATTCATGTCCGCTTGTATGTTAGTGTTTTTCATTCAACTTCAAAAAAAGAGGAGGTTTACAATTCGGTTGTATTTTTTCGATTGTATATAAAGAGGAAAGGTTTGACTTTTTGTTTGTTTGTTTATTATGATTTAATTCAAAAACTACTTGACGGATTTTAAAAATTCTTTAACTATTAAAAAGCCACATCTACGACGAGTAATAAAGGTTATATTATATTATCAAAAAACTAGAGATTCCTACCTAAATTGAAACAATGTATCGAACCCAAGGTATCAAAATGTTACCTATATAAGTCATTATTTTGTGTGCGCTGCAAAAACTATTGACTCGCAAATAAGTCCGCGATGGCATATGCTTAACTATTATAGTTAAGCCACAATAACCGTTTTGGTTTAAATTATTAAGCTCAAATACAGGTGGAATCGAGTAGTGGTGATATTGATATCATGACAATCTATAATTTAATTCTTATCCATTTAAATGGTTTGATAATTAAAGCTCATTATGCTAGTCATTTATAAACTGATTAGGAATTTTTTTTTTCAACAATTTGGTCCCATTAGAAATTTTATCAAAATCGATTCAGTGGTTTAGTTTAATAAACATATAAGAATACTAAATCAAATTACTAAACTGTTAACATATAAAACTGTCTTAATTATTTTAACAAAATTTCCATGTGATCAATAATTATGACTTTAAAAAAAGAAAGAATTTTCG